CTCTCTCTCTCTCTCTCTCTCTCTCTCTCTCTCTCTCTCTCTCTCTCTCTCTCTCTCTCTCTCTCTCTCTCTCTCTCTCTCTGTGTGTGTGTTACTCTATTCTAGCAGGCCTCGGTTACGCTCTCTGAATGTCTTCCCTCAACCTCACTCTCTCTTGCTAGCAGCTATGGCACCGGGTGCCGTCTACAATTACTCTGTCTCTGAGCTGCCTTACGCACAAAACCGCAACAGCGCTTCCGTAGGCACAAATGGAAACTGTGTTTACGTTCTGCTGATGCCGCCCTTATGTACTTGCCGGCCGCGGTCTATTTTCGACTCTTCCGGAATGCTCCTGGACTTCCTTGGGAATGAGCTGTTTTTTGGACTGACAGCCTGACACCCACTGACAAATGACAAACCTTGCCTATCAGAATGCTACTCTACCAGCCTTCTTCCAACAGACCGACCGGGCCTACCCGCTACTGTACGGATGGGTCAAGGACTCCTACCGGTCGGTCGGGACTACATTACATGGAGTCCTGGGACTGAGGCTTTGTGAGACGCGCCGAATCCTTTCAACATATCGCTAAAAGGATGTGGATATAGTGAGTATTAGTGACCCTACTGATTTGATTATGTGCAATCTTCCGAACGTTTGAATGAAATTGAATTGTGCAGAGGAAGTATACAAGGTACCATATGTATTGACTCGACTAATTTGATCGCACGCAATCTTCTGGACATTGGGTGAAATGGAATTGTGCAGGTACCATGTGTGTTTATTTTGCTATGAAAAGATCAAGCTTGAATTGAATGCGCTGTGTCCCAGCTGCAGAATGCCATATGGCGACCCTGTGGAAGCTTCTCCCTTCCGCCACACATCTTCGTCAAGTACCCCCTGTAAATCGAGATCCTCAAAGTCCCGATCTTCATCCCCCGATAAAGAGAGGGCAGATCGAGCTTCCCATGCCCATTCTCGGATATATAATACGAACCATGCGCATGGTTCAACGTCTTATTCTTTGGGTGCATCATCATCCTTCACGACGACAGCGACAGGTGGACGATGCAATCCGTGGAACAGAACAGCCGCTGCATCGTCACGTGGATCTGCATCTGCTCCAATCCCCATGGCTCGTGGGGGTGCAAGGAGTGGCGGTGCTACTGCCCACACAGACAGGAACAGCTACGGAGGCTTGGCAAACATCTTTGGCATGTCGCCTGCCGGCCCGTCGAAACCAGCATGGTCTGGAGGGCAATCAAGCTCCACCGGAAGCTCCCCATCGAGTTTTGGTGCCAAGTCCTGGTCCTGTGCTGCATCGGGGGCAACAGCAACAAAAGGAAGTCCAGGCGCAAGACCAGGGAGCGTTGGGCCCACGCTAGATGCACACAGAGTTGGACAAGCGGCATGCGATCGCACCGTCTCCTCCTTGCCACGTAATGCTTGGGGAGTTGGCCGCGCAACTGACAGCTCAGCATCGGGTGTTTCTGGTCATTCTGCTCCTGTGGGACGGTGTGGTGTGTCTCCAAGTCCCTGGGGCATTGCCAGTGGAAGGCTAGCGAACAATGGCAGTGGGTCGAAATGTGTTCCGTCGGGAGAAGATACACTTGGAATAATCGGAGTGAATCTCACAGATAATACCCATGCGACGGATGTGAATGTGTGTTGTGGCGCCAACAATAACCAAGGAAGCACTGCAGCATGCTCCTCGAATGTGAGGGTTGGAGAAAACGTCGTGAAGGGATGGCCAGCAGATGGAATGCTGAAGGCTGTGACGTGTACACCACGAGAAGGCCTGGAGTTTGTACAGGAGCAGGGGGAACAATGGGGTACAGAGTTGTGGTGGCAAGGAGAGGCACAACAGCATGTACAGGGGCAAGTAAAGGGGCAGTACTGTATATATGAAGGCGGCACAGGTAACTGTCGAAGTGATAGTGAAGTGACTGTGCAGAGTGATGTAACGAGAGCGACGCGGGGGGAGGGAAGGGGCTCTGTATCGACTAACAGCAGGGCCATTGCTGGATCTTCTCAAAGGTATATATGAGCTGGCCCATTTCCTAGTCATTTTTCCTCTCTTTTTCGTCCTTTTCTTTTCTTGAATCCTCTTAAATCCCTTTGGACATTTTAGATCGCATTATTTGTCACATGATTTGTGATTCCATTTGGACATTGCAAACGAATACAGCGGTAGAGTGCCCTGCACAATTCCTAACCCCACCAGCTCTGCGGAGTGACACTGGTTAACGCTGGGCCCGTTCTCAGGTTGGGCCTACCTTCTTCTCCCGAATACAACGTACGATCATTATAGCTGTATCTAGACTGAAAGATGCCTCAAATACAGCTATAATGACAGTACTGCATGGGCCCTGGGGACCATCTCACGCAAGTGTGTACATGACATGCATCATACTCGCACACAATGATAAGTAGTCTCACACAATAGACAAAGGTAGATGAGAAGAGAACCGAGTTTCCAGGCTTATATTATCAAACATATGATTACAAAGTGTTTCCAAGTTCCCCTGAGTCCAGCGCTCATCAGCGCAACACAAATCTCTCGTCAACTCATCAATATGACTTCCAGTGCCCAATCTTGAATGTGGTCATCAATGTGGTCACCACTCATCAGCGCCACCTCTGCAGTTCACATGCAACTCAGGTAAGTATCATCCATAGCCCAATCTTGAATGAACACTTTCTGCCTCGGCCCCTTCTTCCTATGATGCATACACACTCTTCTCTCATGAGGATCTACTCTGAATACTACTCATAGTTGACTCACACTAACTCTCTAATACTAATGCTAACTGTTGGGCAGCTATGGCTGCATTACTTCCAGCATTCAGGCTTCTTCTCTCACTCAGCGCATCTTCATCCTCCAGCGCTGCTCCTCCTGACTCAACGCACAAGTGCACCAGTACTTCCACCGAATGAAAGCCAGTGGAGATCTGGCGAGGAATGAGGCAGGCAGCTCCCTTTATAGTGCTGGCCACTCCTCGCTGGGTCTGCATTGGCTCAATTCGGCCTTTCCTTTGTCCCAGACCCTGCATTGCATGTGTCCCAGTAGAGTTCCAATGAAGTTCAACTGCTGCTGAGGCCTCTCGGCCTGTATTTGGACTTGAAAGTCTGGATCTGGACTGACCCCTTGACTTAGACCAGAACTGGGACTGTGCCTATTGACTTCACTTTCGGACAGGCACAACTCTCAACGAACAGACACATTTACTGCTTGAACAAACACTTTCCTTTGCACGAACAGGTACACTGCCTGCACGTACAGACACACTCTCATCCGAACAGACATGACATACACAGCTCCTGGTGAACAGGTAAGTCCTTTGACAATGCCCTYTGCCTTAGATTTAGATGTGCCTGTTGGTAGAGAACTTAACCTTTGACCTGCTTTCACGTTTCTGAGCCCTGGCGAGATACCTTTTCACAATGCTTTACTTTTTCAAGGCCCGTGCTGCTTTATTTTTACAAGGCCTGAGGCCTATATCGGGTAAAGGCCCTTTTAGTATGTTCTATTCGGGGGATGAAGGTAGGCCTACCAAGAGGAGGCACGGCCCTGGGAGGGGCGGGGGGGCACACATTTTGTATGTCCCCTCTCCGACAATTTTTCGTTCTTGTCAACAAATAAAAGGAAAAAACCATGGATGTACGGTAAGGGCTGCTCTGGAAGGAATATACGATATATATATATATATTTGTGACGATATAGTTTGTAGTGATGTGACAATATATATATATATATATATGGGAAAAAGTCCGTCCGAAAAACAATTATTCTGTGTAGTCGTCCACAGGCAAGCGAACTCTGGAACTATGTGAAACTGAGACGCAGAGGGACTGGTGCTTTAAGCCACCGCTACCTTTCCCAGGCAAAGGCGAGAAAAAAAAAAAAGAAAAAAAAAGCGAAGAGTGAAAATCCTGAGACTTCTGATGAACAGTGCTACTGGACCAAAATGGCTGGCGTCACCAGCCACAAGAAAAAAAAAAGAAGATGCCGCTGTGGTGCTTTGTTTATTTTTGGCGTGCGGGGAAAATACCTCGGCAAAAATAGACACGGGGGGGGAGGGGGCGGCTTAAAGAGGCTTGGGGAAGTTGGGGCTGTAGTAGTAAGTTCACAGACGACAGTATCTTTTTGGTTGATGTCAATCACAATGTCATGCTCTTTTTCCTTCTATGTCTATCCCCTTCTATATCTATATAATATATATCTATTGATCTATGTATGATATCCATCTATATGTCTATCTATCTATCTATCTATCTATACAATATATTCAAAGACAAAAGTAGGGCCCTGTACGACGCCTCCCCCGGGCCCAGCAAAAACTGGTCCCGTGCAGTGGGACACTTGGTGTTCAACTGTACTTGTGTCTTCGTTTTTTTTTTTTTTTTTTTTTCCTGCAGTCACAAGATCGAGGGTGTCCTGGCGTCAGTTTTTTCTTTTCCCCTGCGGTCGTGGGATGTGGAGGGTGTCCCGTCGTCAGTTCTGGGTCACAGTATCCAGGGTCACACTGGTCTGGGAACGCCGTGCCGGTTTTGGTCTCACGGGACACATGGCGTTCAGATGTGGCGCAAACTTCCGCAAAGTTCTTTTTCTTTTGGTTGTTTCGTAGTTGGCAGCATTTTTGCCGCCACAGAGAAGTTTGTCCGGGCCGTTTGGGGTTTCCGTTTTTTTTTGCAGTTTGGAGCCGTTTAGGGCGTCGCCGCAGGGGACACGAAATGAAAAACGAAACGAGTGCATCTTCCTGCAGAAAATGGCCAGGTTCATCGGTTTGCTATAAATAGTAGCGAGTGTATTTTGCCACCTTTCCTGGGCAGATGCACTCGTTTCGTTTTCGTTTCGTGTGCCGTGTGGCGAGAGCCTTAGTCGGGGCAATTGCGAATCCCTTTCCACTGAGATGTTGAAATACGAGTACATAGCGCCGGGCATGCTTGGTACGCCTTTCCCGTTTTCCTTTTTTTCGACGATATTCAAATATGAGGACATAGACGATGTGTTTGAACTCTTTGGAGTCTTTGGACCATCCCAGACACCGATTTGAGGCTATTTCTCATGCCCAACTGGACGGAAAGAAAAATCTGGATGATTGTACTTGAAAAAGATGTGTTCCTTAGGCGGTGCACTCTTCTGTATCTACAAGAACAGCAAAAAAAAAAGACAAAAAAAAGGGAAACTGCTGCTGGTATGGCGCACGAGCAGGTGCTGCACCCCACGCCGTACGGCGCACCATTCGGTTGCAAGTATGGTTTGGACAGAACCGGGATATGAGCTGGGCTGTTTTTTTTTTTTGCTTTTCTGCCAGGATTCGAGCTCTGGCCTATCTATGAACAGTTGACGGGTGTACCATTTTATTTTATTTTGTTCTTGGTTCTTTTTTTTTTCACAAGGGAAGGGTCTTCGATATCTAAATGAAATTATAATTTTATTTTTGTATAATTTATGCTCAAGAAATAAGGCAAAAAAAAAAAAAACATGTCATATTCCGAATCGAATAAATCGGGAAAAAAGCGCACCAGCTCAGTGAGTGAATCATTAATTCAATCAAATTGATTTGTATGTCTGTCTTATGGTTGTTATCGTGTCGCCATAAGGCCCAACGAACACATACTAATGGACTTGCGGTCACGAAGCGGGAGACTGAAGCTCTCACCCGCCCCACGTGGCACCGCCAACTACCCCACATGGTACTGGCCAGCCCACATAATCATGTGCATGAACATGCAGATGATTTAGCACATTCTTAAGGATCCTGTTGTGTGGCAGGCTAGTGGGATTGTGCATTCTACTTGAGATCCACAATACCCTCCTTAGTACTTCGCACAACCCAGCAGGGTTGCACTCCACTTTCTCGATAAAGCTTATTAATAGTTATTATCTTTACAGCTCAGAGACCTGATCATGCCTTGGTGAGTATAATTAAGTGAGCAAGAGGCCATTGTTGTACTGGCAAGAGGTTTATGAGGGAGCCGGGTATGCAGGTCCGAGACTGAAGGGTGACGGCACTGACTAGTCATCTAACGAGGTGCAGATTGAGAGATTGTTTCACCGAGGGATTCACAAGGATCGGACGAAGAGCCGGTGGAGATTTGTGTGCTTTGGACCTCAAAGTAGAGATAAGACAGGGTGTCAGTTTGTCGATAGCCCCAGTGTTGATTAAAAAGTGCGTGGGCATTGAGCATGATGGCCGCCGACTGGGCTCCGATGTATCACTATTTGTCAGACCATGAAGGTGTTGTTGTGATAACTTGTATGCGTACCAGCGTTTGCAGCAAATTGCCGGGTTGTGCGAGTTCTTTTATCGACGAGTATCATGGCACATCGCTGCTGGGATCTTGTGAGGTAGGACGGAGTAAGTGCCTGGTTTGCAGAGATGAAAAAAATCCCGTGGCATCTGGGTTGCATAACCAACGACGGCCTACCCCGACCGCCGACCGTATTGCAGCCGACCAGTAGGGCCGACCCTTCGGCGGTCTGCCGACCAGTCAGAAAACAGCCATCCACTTCTTTTTCCTTTCAAATCTGAGTTGGGGGCTGTACTGCGCTTGCTGGGTACAGCCCAAATCCGCTGAGAAA